GTTTTTCACTCTTTTTTTACTGCGATACTGTGACAAAGTCCGAATTTGTGTTAAGAGACATAAATAGATAGATGTGTCAAAATATTCTAGTGGCTGATGGTTAGGCTTCTTAACAGCATTTGTTTATCATTAGAAAGCCACAGTATAAGCATGTGCATGTGTTTAATGTACCATGTTATGAAACATAACTTGCCTGTTTGGGGTGAGCAGAAATGGAACATAGACTTGGCAAAAATATTTTTCAGAAACTAAATAATGTCATCTAGTCAGTATTAACCAGATCAATTAAAAAAATATTAACATCTCATTGAGATCATGCAGTGAAAAATTCAAGTAACCAATGTGTGCTGACACCTGCAGATATGTTGGTGTGCATGCTCTAATTAGTCACTAATGAACAAAACAAACGGCAAAATGAATGGTGTATCAAAATAAAAAAAAAAACAATAAATCACAATACTATAAATCAATAAATCACTGTGTCTAATTTTCTTCATTTACGCCTTAATAATCCAAAATTAAGACATTGAATATAAATATACTAATGTGATGATTAGTGGATAAAAGTACACAGTAAATATCTTTTGCAATAAGAGCATGTTTAATTAACACATTACTATGTATGTGGAACATCAACATGCTGAAACAGTTTTAATTTGTGCAAAGTATATTGCTCAATTCTGAAATTTACTAACAACTTCCTATGTGATTAATAAATAATTATTGCTTTTAAATACAAACTAGGGCAGTAATTATTCGCTAAGGTCTACCATTTTTTTTTGTTAATTAATAGAACACGAGTCCATTAAGTAAATGTATTAGATGTAAATCTCTTCCTTTAATCGTTTTACTTATTCCCTTCCTTCTTTAGCGAAATTCCCAATCCGCTTGAGCAATATCAGTTTTGTACGTAGTTGGAATAGAATTCATTGAGAGTGTCGGCAGATATTGCTAAAGCAGACTGGGAACCTCAACATCAATGTGTAAATTGTTCAAAAATGATTTGACTCTATCTCCATCAAATGGCTCAGCACCAGTGGACCAGTGTTAATTTTGTTGACTAACAATTTTAGTCAAATTTTAGTCGATTAAAATTTTTTAGATTTTGTCGACTAAAACCAGAGTAAAACTAAAACAATTCAGATGACTAAAATATGACTAAAATGGCATTTTAGTCAAAAGACTAAAACTAAATTGAAACTTCCCGCCAAAATTAACACTGCACAGAAGAGGTGTGGAATGGGCAAAAGAGACAGACCAGGGCTTGGGAGATAGACCCCTGGGGGTTCGAAGGACAGAAAGAGACACAGAGGGGCTGAGATGGTGCAAAAGAGACAGACAGAGGCTTTAACTAAATTCATTAGATTTTAGTCTTGTCAACTAAAGTCTACTGGAGAAATCTACTGGAGATTTAGTAAACTAAAATGTACTGGCGATTTAGTCAATTAAAACTAGACTTAAACTAAAAACATTCAGATCACTATAATAAGACAAAAACTAAAATGGCCTTTTAGTCTAAAGACTATGCCTAAAACTAAATTGAAATTTGCAGACAAAATTAACACTGTAGTAGACTCCTGCCACCATAACTGTTATCCCATACTGTAGTGGTTGTGGTGCTAGTTACACATTTTTGTTTTTATTATAGTCATTTATATAAGGCCAACATATTCAGCTTTACAACAATATAAAGGTGGAAATGTAATAATAACAATTTAACAATATAACATATTACAGAAACAATACGTTGATGAGGACCCTGCTCAAAAGAACTATATTGCTTCTGATCTGAGCAAAGGAGGAACTATCAAAAGATTTAAATTTTATTATATATCATAGGTCCAAAAAGTATTATGCCAGATGGAAAAGGACAGCAGAGGTATTTTTTTTAATAAATATTTTTTTTATTTTTTTTGCAAAAGAACCAAAAATTATCTCAATTTGCCTGAAAATAATTATTGGAAAAAGTAAGTTTTCTGAATGTTATTTCAAAGCTTGAATGTTCTGCAATTCAGTATTCAAGGTTAAACAGACGGTTTATTACAGTGGAAAAACACAAGAATTTGAAATTCGACTCAGACAAAATATAATGGTACCAGCATCCCAGAAGTTATGGGTAATAAAGCTGATATACAGCTCTCCGAGTACAGATTTACACAGATCGCTGTCATCTGTTATTTTAGTATCATTGCCAAAGAATGTTGTATCTTGTGTTCATGGTGTCTTCTCCATGTTATGTTATGGCTAAACCGCACGGTAAATATTAGACTTTACAAGTAAATTCCTTGACAAATACCAAGTGCAACATCAGGGTTACATACACAAACCGGGTGAGTTCCAGATATCTGAGTCACTCTTTCTATGCAGGATAAGGACCTTTAATTCAAATAATAATATTTGTCCATCATGAGAACAAGGGGCAGTGTGTACATCACATAAGCTCCTGGAAAGGTCACATTTAAAGTTTATAACTTTGAAGACTTAGTAACACCCACAGGGTTATTCACTATAGTGAGAATTCAAAGTGGATTTCAAATGTTAGGCCAGAGTAGTCAAACTGGAGGCATAACTGACTCAGATAATTTTTCCATTTTTGGATTTGGGGTTTGACATGAGTCTGTTTCTCACAGTGTCATCTCATACTATATTTTAGATATCAAAGTATATTTAACCCCTTAAGGACGGTGGGCGTGCTATGCCGTCCTTGGAGACCCGGCTCTAAATTGATCGCCGGCTATCCCACGCGGGTGATCGCGATGGGGGGACTTACCTGGCATCCCAAGGAGTCCCCCTGCTGCCATTCCGGCACTCCTGGGCGATGTGATCGCAAGGTCCTTGTAAGTACCTCACAATCACATGGACGGAATAGCCGTCCATAGCAGTGCCAGCAGGGGGAGTGCCTGGGATGACATGATGGCATACCATTTGCAATAGTAGACAACCCAAGGTATTGCAAATGGGGTATGTCCATTCTTTTTTAGAAATCAGTTAGTCACAAACACTGGCCAAAATTAGTTTTTTGCATTTTTCACACACAAACAAATATTAATGCTAACTTGTGTTTGTGACCAAGTGGCTACTAAAAAAGACTGGACATACCCCATTTGCAATGCCTTGGGTTGTCTACTATTGCAAATGGTATGCCATCATTTGGGTAATTCTAATTCCTGGGCTACCATACGCTCTCAAAGGCAACGTAACTAATCTGGCGAATTTCAATGTGGAAAAACTGAAAAATGTAACATGCTATATTTGACCCTGTAACTTCCCAAAACACCATAAAACCTGTACATAGGGGGTACTGTTTTACATGTGAGACATCGCTGAATACAAATATGTGTATTTTATTGCAGTAAAAGCTAACAGTATTATGACATTCACAGTTAAAATGTCATGTAGAACGAAATACAGTACAAAATTTCTTATTTTCTCCCATTTTTTATATTATATTCAAATTAAATTATGTTTCATAGCTAAATATTTGATGTTAAATGAAAGCCCTGTTTCCCTTGAATAAAATAATATATAATAAGGGTGGGTGCACTTATTATGAGAGGTGAATTAAGTTTGAACAGACATATAGCGCAAATTCCAGGTTTTGTTTACGTTTTGTTTTGATCACAACGTGTACATTTGGCTCAGTCCTTAAGGGGTTAACAATAATTTGTAGACATAGCAGTAGTTTTAAACTGGATACTGAACAAGCAATAATTTTTGTGCCCCCCAACTGTTCCTATATCGGCGGGACAGTCCTGATTTTCAGGTCCTGTCTCGCCTTAGTCCCCATGTACTCTGCTTTTGGGGACACCAGGGAACTGTTCACAACAATTATTGCTTGAGTGCATCAATAGAAGTGATTGCCCAATGTTTAGGGTACTATGACCCTGCAGGGAGCACTGATACAGTGCTCCCTACAGAGGCAACCCTCATTGGTCAGCCTTGTCTCACCTGCCAGTAATGTGGCTGACCCATCCCCTTTCAGTACATGCCTGCCTCTGTTTAGGCCTTCACACTGGCATCCCAATTCTGGGACTGCTGATGTTTGGCGGTATGTACCACACCAGGAGCATGTGAGATCTTGACCAACATTAGAAAAACTCTTGTTAGGATGAACTCTGGGTGTGATATCTTCACTGTGATGCAGGTATGAGTATTAACCAGGCTCATGTAGATGTTCCATCCCTCCCAACATTTTAAATGTACAAACACTTTAATTTTAGAGGTGAGAGTGGGGGTGTGACCAGGGGCGGTGCTGTTCGGAGAAATTTTAGGTGACTTACTAATACCAAGTTATGTAACTAAAATGTAATTTAGAACAAGAACAATGTATCTTATTTACACAGAACGATTTCAAAACACTCTTATTATAGTTTAAAAACACATTACATGGAGTACTATTGCAGTGGAGTTCTGTTATAGACTCAGACACACCAACAATATGCAGCTCCTAGGAAAGATGGACAAGGGAGATTTGGACCTAAAATAAGAACTGTCTCTCCTAAATAATTGCACTTGGGAGATATGATGTTCTGATTCACATGAAGGCTTCTAGATATTATGTAGATTCCACACCATCTGGTATAAGGGCCATGTCCTTAGCGTGCAAAGATCCTTTAAATAGTTTAGTATTGTAACGTTTAATATAAATGTATATTCTGTTTCTATATTGGATAAGTTATATAGGAATTTTCACTAAATGGAGATTCTTTTTAAAAATTCCGTGAATTTCCAATTTAATGGCAATTGAAACAATTTTCAAAGTAAGCTATGCTTCCAGTTCAGTTATTTTCTACTTAAGTTTACATTTCATTTTGAATTGACCATTAGTTTTTGACTTCAGTGAATAACCCTGCCAGTGTGGGCTAAGATAAAAAAAAGTATCCATAGACAAGGTTTAGATTATTTTTGATGGTTCTTCTGTTTAAAGTCGCACTGTCACTGTCTGGGGACTTTGCATAATTTGCAAAGAACCCCAAAGGTATCATCGTCGCTGGAAGTCTGGTGGCCAGGGGTGGCATAAAAAGGTGAATTATACTTACCTGAACCTGTCGTGGATGCTGTCCTTTTCTACCCCTAGCACTACATCTGCCAGGAGCCGATATCACTGCTGATATTGAGAGAGGCCTATGGAGGATCCCACAAAAATTTCCTTGTAGCAGTCACTGGTAATAGCTGGGGGATTGACACTTCTTGACAGCGGTAGCTCCGCCTGTTGTCAAGAAATGTCAGCAGAGGAAAAATACTGAGACAAATTTCAGTGAAATTATAACACAGTCAATATGAGTATTTTATAAAGATTCTATCTTTATGAAATACCCATTTTGCAGGGCGATGTGACAATGCCACTTTAATTAACACTTTGTGTACCATGACCTGTGCTCTTTAATTATTCTACTTCTGTTAGGGAACAGTCACACACAGGGGACAGTCACACACACACACACACACACACAGAATGACAGTCACACATACACACACACACAGAGGCAGACAGTCACACACACAGAGGCAGATAGTCACACACACACACACACACACACAGAGGCAGACAGTCAAACACTCACACACACACACAGAGGCAGACAGTCAAACACACAGAGGCAGACAGTCACACACACACACACACACACACACCACACACACACACACACACACACACACACACACACACACACACACAGACAGGCAGACAGTCACACACACAGACAGTCACACACACACATACAGGCAGACAGTCACACACACACACACACGCAGGCAGACAGACACACACACACAGGCAGACAGACACACACGCACACACACAAACACATACAGGCATACAGTCACACACACAGAGGCAGACAGTCACACACACACACATACAGGCAGACAGTCACACACACACACACACACACACACACAGACACACACACAATCACACATAGTTACCTCTATTCATTATGGAGGTGGAAGTAGTGCAGGTCCTGGATTCTGATTGATGGGGAAGCAGGGACTCCTTCTTGCTTCCCATGCAGCAATTACCCGGCACTTCTAGCCCTGCCCCACATCATTTAGCCTCACCGCTAAGCCCCGCCCCGCTGCAATGTTTTTTTGTTTTTTTTTAATCCCGGGTGGAGAACAATTAAATCCTCCACCCGGGTAGCCGGCCATGTGTGAGCTGTGTTGGTCTGAGCGTGCCCCCTACTCCATGGCACCCTGTTCTGCTGCTCAGCTTGCACACCCCTAAGGCCGGCCCTGGTGGTCATATAATACCACCCAACATTTCAAACCCCTAATTTTAAGGATGTGAGTGGGGGTGTGGCCAAGGACGGGCTGTGCTGAGCATTTTTAGGTGACTCACTAGTAACAATTTTTGAAACAAAAAAACTAATGTATTTTTTTACACAGACGGATTTCTAAACACATTTATTGAAGTTTAGTTTGAAGACATACTACTGGGAGTATTAATGCTATAAAGCTCTGCTATACACTGAGACACGTAAAAAATATGGAGCTCGTAGAAAAGAGGGACATTAGGAAAGAAAAGGATAGGCATATTTGGGCCAAAAATAGGGACTATCCCTCCTAAATCAGGACACTTGGGAGATATGATGTTCTGATACACATGAGGGCTGCTAAGTATCATGTAGATTTCACGCCATCTGGTATAAGGACTATGACATTAGGGTGTGAGGAGACACCCTTCAATATTTTAAAAGTTTAATGTTTTAATGCCATACACTCAGATACACTAACAATATGGGGATCCTAGAAGATAGGGGCATTAGGGTAGAAAATAGATTGCCACACTCAAATAGGGATACTTGGGAGGTATGCTATATCTTATGATTTCACTAAAAGTATTCATCATATCACTTTGTTTTATCTATGACTAGAGATGAGTGGACACCTGGATGTTCGGGTTCGCCAGGTTCGGCCGAACTTCGGCAAAAAGTTCGAATTCGGACTTGAACTTGACCCGAACTTGACCCCGAACCCGAACCCCATTGAAGTCAATGGGGACCCGAACCTTTGGGCACTAAAATGGCTCTAAAAAAGTCCTGGAAAGGGCTAGAGGACTGCAAAAGGAAGTAAAATGGGGATAAGAGTAGGACAAGTGCCCTGCAAACAAATGTGGATAGGGAAATAACTTAAAATAACATCTTGAACTAGGAGGAGGAGGTGGATATGGAGTAGGAGGTTGAGGAGGCGGTGAAGGTGGAAGCAGCGGTTGAGGCGGAGGAGGTAGCCAACACTGTTTTTTATTTATTATAAATATTGGGACATATAAAAAAAGAAAACAAAGAATAAGTGCACTTGAGTATAACAATGGCTGGACGAGGCCGGTAAAAATATCTATTCTGCACAAGGTACAGACAAGTCTGGTGGGATCCATGCCTGGTTCATTTTAATAAACGTGAGCTTGTCCACGTTGGCTGTAGACAGGTGGCTGCGCTTGTCTATGATAACACCCCCTGCCGTGCTAAACACACATTCAGACAATACACTGGCTGCAGGTCAGGCCAGCACCATAAAGGGCAAGCTCAGGCCATGTGCCCAATTTGGAGACCCAGAAGTTGAATGGGGCAGACGCATCAGTCAGTACATGTAGGCGTGTGCACACGTACTGTTCCACCATGTTGCTGAAATGCTTCCTCCTGCTAAGACGTTCCATATCAGCTGGTGGTGCTGGTTGTTGTGGCATGCTGACAAAGCTTTTCCACATTTCGGCAATGCTAACCCTCCCTTCTGAGGTGCTGTCGGTGCCCCAGCTGCGTTGTTGACCTCTTCCTCCTCCTCTGCCTTTGCCTTGTGCTTCCATCGAGCCCCTGGTGTCAGTTGGGAATGCCCTCAGCAGCGCGTCTACCAGCGTGCGCTTGTAGTCGCGCATCTTCCGATCATGCTCCAGTGAAGGAGTTAAGGACGGCACTTTGTCCTTGTAATGGGGATCCCGCAGGGTGGCCACCCAGTAATCAGCACAAGTTAGAATGTGGGCAACTCGGCAGTTGTTGTGCAGGCAATGCAGCATGAAGTCGCTCATGTGTGCCAGGCTGCCCAGAGGCAAGGACAATCTGTCCTCTGAGGGAGGTGTATCGTCTGTGTCCTCCGTATCCCCCCAGCTACATTCCAGTGATGCCCACAAGCTGCATTGGGTGCCACCCTGCTGTGAACACAGTTCCTCCCCATTGGCTTTGGTGTGCTCGGTCCCTGGGTGCGGTGGGCAGTAGCAGGCATACTGTCTGGGGACGGCCGCTCCGCTTTTGCACCCTGCTCCCTCTTATGCTCTGCTGGTGCCTCTGTGCGACCACTGCCTCTTCCTCCAAACTGGACACTTGCATGACCTTGATTCCATGTGGGGTCTAGGACCTCATCATCCTCCACATCATCTTCCACCCACTCCTCAACCCTGCCCTCCTTGCCGGTATGCACATTGCAGAAAGCCACAGCAGTTGGCACCTGTGTTTCGTCATCATCAGATACGTGCTGCGGTGGTCCTCGCATGTCCACATCCTGACAGTGGTTGTGCATCAGTGCACTCAATCTCTTCCACTTCTGGGGCAGGGCTAGGTGGATGGCCCACGGAAACCCCGCCAGCAGAGTCATCAAAAAGCATAACTTGTGGCTCAGACTGCTTGGCTGTTTTGCAAGGGGCTGAGGTGAAAGACAGATGGCCATGGGCTGCAGGTGCCAACTCTGAGCTTTCAGCAGGGGACCAGGTGGGAGACAATGTGAAGGAACTGGAAGTACTGTCAGCCATCTAATCTACTATCGCCTGTACTTGTTCTGGCTTCACCATTTGTAAAGCGGCATTCGGGCCTACCAAATAACGCAGAAGGTTCTGTCACCTACTCACACCTGAGGAAGGTGTTTCACTTGTGCGTGTAGCTGTCACGTCCTCTCCCTGCAACAGGAGCTCCACCAACACCAGCAGCACCACAACCAGGGCCACGTCCCTTATTTTACCCTCTCCTCATTCTTTGCGTTCACCCACCAAACTAACAGATGGTTTATGTCAGGCTACAATGTAACCGCCAATAGTCAACAATTAAGTTCACTGACAGTAAGGCAGTGCCGGTGTCCTAAAGAGAAAACATTTCTAGAGGTCACACAACAGTGTGACATGCATAATTAATACAGTTACTTCACTGTCTCAAAAAATGAGAATTTGTCTAGAAACTATGTAACAGTAGTATTTAACGGTTTTATTGGACCGCAAGAAATGCACCGCAGGCCGCAAATGTACTATTTAGCACCAAAATAATTAGAATTTTTCAAAGCGCAATGTAACCACAGTATTTGACGGTTCTATTTGACTCTCAGATATGAAGTGCACGCCCCAAATTTACTTTTTAGCACCAAAAAAATTTGAGTTGGTCAAACTGCGATGTAACCACAGTATTTGACGGTTCTATTTGACTCTCAGATATGAAGTGCATGCCACAAATATATTTTTTAGCACCAAAAAAAAATTTGAATTTGTCAAATTGCAATGTCACAGCAGTATTTAAAAATACCTAGATGTTGCCCACTGAGCTACCAGAACAGGATTAAAGTAATGTGCCTGGCACATTAACAAACAGACTGATTGATTATTTCTCTGTGGCACTGGGCTCAGGGCAAGGTACAAAAATGTAGTACAGCACCCACAAAAATAATCGCTTTAGTTTGCAGATTCAACACCAGAATTCTTTCCTAAGTAATCTGTCCCTTACAGCTGCAGCATCCTCTCCCTACACTAATAAGAGCTCATGTGACTCCAGGTTATATAGAGGCTGGGTCGCATGCTGCACTGGCCAATCACAGCCATGCCATTAGTAGGCATGGCTGTGATGGCTTTTAAGGGTACATGAGTCAAATGTTTGTTGATTGGCTGCCCTGCAGCTTTTCAAAACGCGCCATTAAATCGCCGAACACCGAACCCAAACTGTTACTGAAATGACCGGGTTCGGGTTCGGGGTCAAAAATCATAATGTTCGGTACGAACCCGAACTTTACAGTTTGGGTTCGCTCATCTCTATCTATGACAAATCTTCTCATAAAATAGTAACAAATTAGAATATGTTCGATACATTTTACATGGCCAGAAAAAAGAAGGTGGACTCGACACCTTTTTTTTTTCAGTATACAGGAATATGACACATGCTGTATTATGGAACTTTTGTGTAGGCAAAATTAACAAATGGAATATTTGTAACTTTTGGATGAAATACACTGCAATGGTTATATTGCCAAGAGAGTGATGGTGCTCCACC